CCCCCGCAGCCCCTCCCCGCCCCTCCTGCTCCCCACCTCCTCCCAGGGGAGGCAGCTCCAAGGGCTGTTGGGATGGGCACCCCGGAGCGGAGGGTCCCCGGCTGCCCGCACCTTGATCTGGGCCAGGAGGTTCTTCAGGGTGTTATAGAGCTGGTCCGGATCCTTCAGCTCTTTTCTGCAGGACAAAACCAGCGCCCATCAGCCCAAAGGCAGGCAGCCTCTCGCCATCCCAGTGCTCCCACCTCCCCAGCCCAGCGCCGGAGCAAGCAGCAGCCCGAGCTGAGCCCCCGCAGCCCAGCTGCTGCAGGACACCCGCGCACCCTGTGCAGCACTCACCCCTTCTCCTTCCCCAGCGGTTTCCAGCCCGTTTCTCCTGGAAATCAAGGGTCAACGTCACCACGCCTGCCCCACGCTCACGGAAGGACGGAGCCCTCCTGCCAGACAGCCCTTCCCCACCAGAAGCCGGTAGGACTCACGGATGCCGGGGACGCTCTCGATGGGGATCTGCCGCACGCCCTCCTTGAAGCAGGTGAGGCCAGGGTAGACCTTGCGGATCTGCGCTTGCTTCCTCTCAATCAGCTTCTTGATGATCTGCAGCGGGAAGGGGGGGTTGGAAGCGGGGAGGTGAGCAGGGACTGCAGGATGCTCCGGGGATCCAAACCGTGCGTGGGACCCCACAGGCCCAGAGCACCGGCTGCACCCACTGCCCAGGGCCGGAGCCAACCCCAGCCAGCGTAAACGCCACCGCAGCGTCCCATCTCTGCCCGACGAGCCTGCTCCCAGGGGAGATTCAAGGGACAGGTCCCAAGGGCCGACGCATCCCCACAGTTCTCCCCTGCCTTCAGGAGGCAGCTGGCAGGGGCCAGAGCAGGCAGCGCCTGGCAGCGCCTGCCCGCGGGAGGTACCTCCTTCTGCTTCTTGATGATGTGGGAGAGCTCGGTGTAGGGGATGCGGGGGTTCAGCTCACACTCCATCAGGGTCGCCCCCTCATAGTCCTTGATGTAGCCCAGGTAGCGGCTCTTGGGGACCTTGATGTCCTTGGAAAAGCCCTAGGAGGGAGAGGGCACGTGGGAGGGGGCCGGCGGGCCGGAGGGCCGGGGGGAGCCGCCCCGGGGGAAGGAGCCCACCTGCTTCTTGAAGTAGCCGACGGCTGTGCCGTGCTGTGCCGTGCTGTGCCGTGCCGTGCTGTGCATCTCCCTTGGCCATGGGATAAACCTGGTCGGTTGACGATAAGGGAGGAGCCTGCAGGCAGCTCCCACTGGGTGCTGGTGGTTACACCTTGCCTTTATCTAAGACTGCTGCAATGGTTCACATGTGAACATCCTTCTGTTTGTCAGGAGAATGAGTTGTTTTCTTTTTTAAGAAAATCCTATAAAAGCTCCAGCAACATAGTGGGGTAACCTTTCCATGGACAGGATCTGCCCTGATCAGAGGCCTGTTTCCCACCACCCGCCTCCCCACTCTCACCTTCACTTGCTCGTTGGACGTGACGGCGCAGAAGACGATCTCGGTGAAGCCCTGGGTGGGGAACATGCGGAAGCAGATCCCCCCAATCACTCGGCCGTCCTTGATCAGTGCCAGGGTCTTGTGCTTCCTGCGGGCAGCAAGGCCAAGGGTGAGACGGGACCCTCCTCGTGCCGGCCCCCCCGCGCCCCCCGAGCCACGCACGGGTCGAAGACGAGGCGAGTGATGTACTCCTTGGGCATGCGGGGCAGCTGGTGCGAGAAGACGTTCTGCAAGCCCACCAGCCACATCAGGATCTTCTTGTTGGACTTCTGCGAGAGCGAGTTGCCGATGACGTGGAACTCGATGATGCCACGGCGCTCCTCCAGCCGGGCCGTCTCATCCCGTGCCGCGTTTGCCGACAGCAGGCTGGTCTGGGGGGTGCGGGGGTTTCATCGACCCCAGCACACCGTCAGCGGGGGGAGCCCAGCCAGGCCCCAGTAGACCAGGAAAGCAGCTCTGCGGCCCTGGAGAGCACCGGTGCCGCCTCAGTGCCCCCCACCCCGTACCTCGGGGCCCAGCATGGCAGCGGGGTCCGTGATGGTCAGCATGACCTCGTTCACCAGCTCCATGGGGATGTCTCCCATGACACGGATCCGCTTGGCATCTTCCAGCGTCAGGCTCTCAGGCAGCTTCCGCTTCTCCCCTGGGGCGCGGAGCAGAGCGGCACATCCAGCACCAGGAGGGACCAAGGAAGGTCCCAGCTCCCCCAGTGCTGGGCTCACACCAGCCCTACCTGGCAGGGGCTCTGGGGTGCTGGCGTCCATGCTTGCGGCAGAGCTGCTGTTGCTGAGCTTCTTGCTGAAGAGCGGAGTGGTGGGCACAGCAACGGTGCTGACCGCGGCTAGAAGAGACCAACGATGGCCGTGACTGCCAGAAAGCAGCTCGCCATGCCGCGGCAGCCCAGCCACCGCCACTGGCCAAGGCTCACCCACCACCTCGGTCCTTTATCCTCCAGCCCCTAAGCTGGGGGGGCTGCTCCCTGAGATACCTGGGCGAGACACCAGCTGGGCACCCTCCGCAGCCGGGACAGTGAAATCAGCCTCCCAGATCGGGGAGTTCTCGCCGTAGATCTCCTCCTCCAGCATGGACAGGAACCTGGCAGGCAGCGGCACGTTGGCCGGCGAGCAGGCGTCAGGCACACACAGCCCTACGGCTCGGCCTGCGGCGCGGAGCGCAGGCGGTCGCGCTCAGTGTGCGAGTGCCCCGCGGGAGGTGAGCCTCCTCAGCAGCGCAGCAGCCACCCCCGCATCGGGCACCTACTTGGGGAAGTGGGTGAGGATCAGCGTCCGCTTCTCTGGCACCAGCTTGTCCTTCTCCACCCGGAACTTCTCCAGCAGCTGCCGGCGGGTGACCGTGAAGATGGACTTCAGGAGGCTGCGCCCGAAGACGTGCGTGGTCTCGTAGCGAGGAAGGCTGTCGCAGCTCTGCGGCACGTGGCAGTAGCACAGCCACCTAGGAGACAAGAACACGCTCCAGTAACGGGGCTGGGACCAGTGACACCAGAGCATCCACATCCCTGCTGGGAACACGCTGCTGGAGCAGGGACGAGGAGAGCAGGCGTCCGGGGGGTCACGGCTGATGTTATTTGGAAGCAGTCTCCCCGCTGGGTGCCTGCTCTCCTCGCCTGGGAGAGCTGGGGAGAGGCAAAGAGCCCAGGAGTCGGGGGTCAGCCCCACGCAGGGGTAGGAGGAGCGGGCAGACCCCCAGGCTGGCTGGCTCGGACCCCCGCCCGCCCTCACCTCGTGTAGTTGACCTTGTAGGTGGCCACATCGTCATTCTGGGAGCGCTGCCGGAACTGGGACGGCGTCTCCAGCTTCCAGTAGTTGAGGCAAAGCAAGAACATCTTGGAGAGCTCGTACATGGTCTGCCGCTCCTTGGGTGGCAAGTGGCTGAACTTGTACTGGACGAAGTTCAGGACTCCCTGGGGAGAGGAAGGGGCGGTGGAGGGGCACCGGGTGCTGCACCGGACCCTTCTGAGGGGACCGTGCAAGAGCAGCAAAACACAGGGCCAGTCATCAGTGCAACGTGTGAGCCTGACAGCGGCCTCACCTGCTCAATGTTTGGTTTCTCAAAGGGAGGGCTCCCCAGGGACCCCTCGACCACAGGCTGGCTCATCTGCAGGATGCACTTCCGCAGGAGCTGCGAAGACAGCGTCGGGCACGGTTATGGGCCGAGGTCCCAAGAGCAGGCCCACCAGGAGCGGCGGAAGCGGCAGAGCGCTGCTGCAGGGCTGCGCCGATTCACACAGCCAGGGAGGTGGCAGGGTCCACCTCCGGGCACGTGCGTTTCTTCCCTGGAAACCTCCCTCCCAGGGGAATTCAAGGCCGGGAGAGCCGTCGCTCCCAGGACAGGGTCGGCGTTTCAGGTCTCCGGCTGGGCTGGTGGGATGGCTCACAGCCCCAGACCACAGCTCCCAGCAGAGCAGCAGCCCCAGCGCCCTGGCAATGCTGAGGGACCCCTGCCCAGCCCCAGACGCACCTTGAACAGGTAGAAATACACCTGCTTGGTGTCCGTGTCCTCCTCCTTGTGCACCGACATGAAGAGGTTTTCCACGTCCACCACCATACCCAGCAGCCGGTTGATCTCCTCCTCCGAGACGTTCTCCAGGTGGGACACGTGGTCCGCTGCAGTGGGGAGAAAGCCGCAGTGAGACCAGGGGGTCAGCACCGCTCCCCCTCCCTGGCGAGGTCCCGGGCGCCCCGCGGGGACGTTACCCAGCGCGTGGCCGCAGCTCCGGCAGGGCTCGCTCAGGTTGGTCACCGGCTGCTGCAGGTCCATGCGGGGGGCGGTGGGAGGGTTGGGGTTCTTCCAGCCATTGCACTTGCAGGCGTCGTTGGCCTGGGACAAAGGACAGGAGAGGCCGTCACGCAGCGGCCCGTGCGCTGCCTCGTGCCAGGGCTGCCACCTTCTCCGGCCGAACAGCTCCCCCCGCAAAGTCCCCTCTGCCTGTCCCACCCGTCCCTATTTACCAGCCCAGCTCTCCTCAGCACCCACCCTGCATGACCCAGCACCCTAACGCTCTCTCACGTCCCTCCTGTGCAGCCCCAGGACCCTGCAGCCCCTGCCCATGGACGTCCTTGCATCTCCCTTACACAACTCAGTGCTCTCCTCCTGCACCCCCTGCTCATGCACGGCCCAGCACCCACTCCCGCATCCCATGCACAGTCCAGCACCCTCCTCCTGCACCCCGCAGCCACGCACAGCCCAGCATCTCCTTCCTGCAGCCCGTGCACAGACCAGTACCCCCCGTCCTGCATCCCCTGCCCAGCTCAGCACCACTCTCCTGCACCCCCTGCCCATGCATGTCCTTGCACCCCCCTCCTGCACCCCCTGCCCATGCACATCTTTGCATCCCCCTCCTGCACCCCCTGTGCCCTTTCCTGCACCCCCTGTCCAGCTCAGCACCCCTCTCCTGCACCTCCTGCCCATGCACATCCTTGCACCCCCCTCCTGCACCCCCTGCACCCTCTCC